CTTTCTTTATTCTGTATGCTAGGTGTTTTGATTATTATATGTCGAGGGGTCTTTTTTCTTTGGTCCAGCCTATTTGGGGTTCCGTATGCTTCTTGTACTTTCATGGGAGTTTTCCTCGATGATTTTGTTGAATATGTTTTCGGCACCTTTGAGCTGGGCTTCCTCACCTTCCTCTATGCCTATTATTCTTAGGTTTGGCCTTTTCATGGTGTCCCACATTTCCTGGATATTGTGTGTTAAGGATTTGTTGGATTTATGGTTTTCTTTGGTCGATGAATCTATTTCTTCTAGTTTATCTTCTGCGCCTGAGATTCTCTCTTCCATCTCTTGAATTCTATTGGTTATGCTTGTGTCCGTGGTTTCCGATTTTTTGCCCAGCTTTTCAATTTCCAGCTTTCCTTCCATTTGTGTTGCCTTTATTTTCTCAATTTCGGTTTTCAAATCTTGAACCGTTTCCTTCACCTGGTTAATTGTTTTTTCTTGGCTTTCTGTACTTTCCTTAAGGAATTTGTTCATTTCTTCCACTTTTTTGTTTGTTTTTTTCCTCTATTTCTTTAAGGGATTTTCTCATATCTTCTTTGAGGGCCTCTATCATTTTTATGATGGTGATTTTTAAGTCGTACCCTTCTGCTTCCTCTGCTTTGTTGTTGTGTTCCATTCTAGTTGGTGTAGATTCCCTAGATTCTGGTGGTGTCATGTTTGTCTTTCTGTTGTTAGGTGTTCTCTTGTATTGCCTTCTTCCCATAGTTTCTTCCTGTAGGTGTTGGTGGTGTCTCTTCCCTCTCTCTATGGTCCTTCCCAGATGGGCTTATGTGGATCAAAGATTCAATGTTTGTATCTCTGTGTGGTCCAAGCTCTCTAGGAGGCTTCTCTCTGGCCAATAGCCGGCAGAAGAGGACGAGGGCTGGACTGGAACTTGAGAAGGTTTTGCAGGGTAGTGGGATCTCACTGGAAACTGGCGCTCTCCAGCTGAGACCTCGTTCTTTGGCAGGGGCCCGGATTTGGGGGTCAAGTCCTATTGGGTTATTTCTCTAACATTATTAACCCACTGAAGCAGAATGATACTTGGTAAATATCATACAATTTCCTCTTTTTTGTTTGTGTGTTTTCTTTGGCTTTTTGAGACAGGGATTCTCTGTGTAGTCTTGATTTTGGCTATCCTGGAACTAGCTTTGTAGATCAGGTTGACCTCAAACTCAAAGATTTGCCTGCCTCTGCCTACCAAGTACTGGGATTAAAGGCATGATCTAGGACTGCCCAATTTACAATTTCATCTTTTAATATTAAACTTACTAAGCCTGAGTTTCTTCCCCTGATAACTGTAACTTTTTGTTCCCATGTAGCTACAGGATCTGTCAGCTCACAAGTACTTCTATGGTTTAGACACCAACATCACCATTACTCTTTGTTGCTATCACAGTTGTTTTAACTAAAACTCATCCAGTGATTATTAAACATCTTTGCAGTGAGCACTGTTTGATGCTAGGATATAAACACTTGAGCTAGCTTCGGATCTCAGACATGTAATGTAGCTAAAGGACAAAGCCGCCCAGTATACAAACATTTAGCTGTCTAAACCAGCCTAGGGCTCTGAGAATGGGTCCATGAAGGGTACATGAGAGCTGGGGTTTCAATTTTTAAAATTACATTGATGTATTGATTTGTTTGTTTGCGTGGATGATGGTGGGGTGGGGGTCACATGGGGAGATCAGAGGACACCTTTCAGGAGTGGGTTTTCTCCTCTCACCACATAGGTCTTGGGGATGTAACTCGGTCATCAGGCCTGGTGGCAAGCAACTTTGCAAGATGAACCATTCATGGATCCTGGAGCTTGATTTTAAGGAACAAAAGTAAATTAGCCTGAAAACATATCTTAGAACATAATAAAGGCACTCCAGGACATATACAAAGACAAGGAAATAAGAAACAGCAAGCTATGTGAAAGAAATAGCAATGATTTTAGAATTGCGGAAAAGTTAACAGGGAAAAGTAGTGGGAGATGGACATGAAGAGGTGAAACCACAGAGAGAATAACTTATCACATTCCAAAGCTTGTATTAAACTCTGAAAAAACCACTGTCAATGTTTAGGAAATGGAGGGTCTGGGTGCTTCAAGAAGGCCCAGTGGATGGTTAAAGCACTTGCCTACAGAAGACCAGCACCCACATGTATACTAATGGAGTGTGATGCCCACCTGCAATCCTATGCACTCAAGAAGTTAAGACATCAGATAGCTAGCACCTGACTAACTAGGTTACCCCAAGACACCCTTCCTCAAGACAAAAGACAGAGTTAAGGAGAAAGACACCTGACCTCAACCTCTAGCCCCCATATGCATATGTGCAAACGTGTTTGTGCACCTGCATACACACATGACCACCCACACGTGAATACACACATATATACAGTCATGCATACCACACACTATAAACAGAAGTGTCTCTGTCCTGTCCCATCCCATAGTCACTTCCAAATAATCACTCTGAGGCTTATATTAATTATCCACACATTGTCCCAAGGCTCATGGCCTTTACCTCTATTTCATTTTGTGTATCTGACTCCCTCTGCATCTAGCTGGTGATTCCTCTGACTCTGCCCTTCCTCATCCCATCATTCTCAGTTTGGCTTTCCCATCTAACTTTATCCTGTTCAGCAATTGGCCAGTCAGCTTGATTATTAAATCATTCAGAGGGACATGTATTCACACAGTGTACACAAGTGTTTCACAGCAACACACAAACTGTTATTTTCCTATAGATCACTCATTTCTGTGCAGAATGAACCTGGAGATTGATAGTCTCATTTCTTTCATATTTCAAATGTAATAAAATTGAAAGTCTAATTGCTTTGTTATTCCATTGGTCCTAGGAATTTAAGCCCTAAGTTTCTCAAGAAACAGAAACAGCGTGCTGAGGTTCCAGGTTAGTAGGATCCTTATCAAGAGTATCTGGCAGTGGGATTGCCATTGCAAACTGGGGAAACACCATGGTGCTGTCAGACACCCAAAGGACTGTCTGAGACACCACAGCTATCAGCACAAGAGCTGCACTGTCTCCAATGCTCGCTAGAAGATTAACAGGAAAGAGGAAACTTCAAAACCAAGGACAGTGATTTTTAGCTTTGCCCTCTGCGTGCTATTATTCCCTCCTTCCTGCATAGGCAGGCGCTAATTCTTAAGTGTGCTTTAAGGAAAGATGCAGCAATCAGCTCTAATCTAAAGTTTCGCTTTCCATGGTTTCAGGTCATTGAGACCAACTACAGTTGGAAATATTCAATAGAAAATTCTAATAAATAAACAATTCATGACATTTAAATTGCATGCCATTCTGAGGAACATGATGAAATATGCTGTGGTGGTTTTAATAAGAATGTCCCCCATAGGCTCAGATATTTGAATGTTTGGTTCCTAATTTTTAGACTATTTAGGAAGGATTAGAAGGTGAGTCCTTGTTGGAAGAGGTGTGTCACTGGGGATGGGCTCTGAGGTTTGAAAGCCACACCAGCGCCACTCATACTCTCTCTGCCAAGAACCTGTGGATCAAGTGTAAACTCAACTACTCCTTCAGTGCTGTGCCTAGCTGCCTGCTGTCATGCTCTCACTACAGACTAACCCTCTGAAACTGTTGTTTTAGTCCTGGTAGCTCCAAGGAGAAATGTCAATCTGCTGTGTTTCTTTCTCCAGTATATACATGTTGTATTATAATTTTGGAGCATGTACTGGGCACCACAGCTCAGCTAAGGTCCCTTAGACTGCCCAGGCCTTCTAGCTGAGTCAGTCCCAGGCTGGATTCCCAGCCACCAGTCTGGGGGGGCCGTTAGTTCCTCCTTGTTCAGGTCAGGTGTTTCTATGTGTTTCTGTAGCCTGGTCTTGTCCTCCCTCTCTACATCTGGATTCCAGTTCTGCTCAGTGTTTAGTTGTGGGTATCTGCTTCTCTTTCCATCAGCTACTAGATGAGGGCTTTAAGATGGTGGATAAGTTAGTTGTCAATCTCATTATCAGGTAAGGCATTTATGGTAGCCTTTCCACTATTGCTCAAATTGTTAGTTGGAGTCAGTCTTGTAGGTCTCTGAACACTTCTCTAGAGTCGGTATTCAAACTTTTAATGGCTCCCTCTTTTATGGAATCTCTCTCTCTCTCTCTCTCTCTCTCTCTCTCTCTCTCTCTTTCTCTCTTTTTCCTTCTTGTCTATTCCTCCCCTGATTCACTATTCCTAGTTCCATGTCCTTTCCTCTCCTCCCCTTTTCTTTACCCAAATAATCCACATCCATGCAACAAAGACATCTGTATTTCTAGCAGCATTATTTGTAATAGCAAGAACCTGGAAGCAACCTGGATGCCCCTCAGCTGAAGAATAGATAAAGAAGATATGGCACATTTACACAATGGAATACTACTCTTCAGAAAAAAAAATGGAATCTTGAAACTCACAGGCAAATGGATAAAACTTGAAGAAACCATCCTGAATGAGGTAACCCAGTCATAAAAAGAGGAACATGGTATGTACTCACTCATCTATAGATTTTAGACATAGAGCAAAGGATCACTAGCCTATAATTCATACTGCCAGAGAAACTAGGATACAAGTAGGAATCTAAGAGATTCATACAAGGTCCCTCACAGAAGGGGAAAGGGACAAGATATCCTGAGCATATTGGGAGTGGATAGGGAAATATATATATTTTTTAATGCATATAATCTTCACTCTTTGGCTCATTGCTTTTAAAAACACTTTTAGAGAAATTGAGAAAGAAATTATCCTACTCTCTTAAACAAATGCTTTTCTTCACTTTATCAACTGATTAGTCTAATAAGGGAAATGATGAGATGATGACTTCCTTGGCAATCTGAATGGTAGCTTTTCCTTTATTTTTTGTTTGTAAACACATATGTCTTTAACTATGATAGATTTTCCTTAAGTCTAGAATAAGACCCTATAATATGCTTATTTTAAATTACAGCTCACATGCATGGTTTTCTTATGTACAGAGTTTAAACCTTTTCAGGAAGAGTAATAACCAGTCTCCCATCGGAGGAGACAGCAGATAACACTAAGAAAGAACCTTTACATCCAATGAATATGAATACCAAGGAAGCCATTTTTTTTAGAGTTACTCATCTTTATGTGTGACCAGTACATATTTGTCAATGTTTTACTCAGAAGTTAAAAAAATTCATAAGATCCTTTCACAGAAAATATCTACAAAGTGAATATCAAACAATAAAATTTTCCTCCAATAATTTATTTTCAATAATTTCCTGATGCTGTCAGTTTTCAGAGCACTTTTAAATTTACAAGAGCTAAGGATCTCAATGTGACACCATGCCTTCCTGCCCTTTATTTCTTTCTAGCAAGAAAAATAGGCATGTGGAAGAAAATGTGAGACAGAAGATCCCTGTGAACCCTAAAGCTATGTCAGGGAGGTAAGCTGATTGTCTGCACCCCAGATCTCAGGAACCATTGATCCATTATCAACATCCTAATGAAGAACCTCTTCCTTCTGAAGCACCAGATACTTTCCTGGACTAAAATGCTATGCAGAGTCAGTTGATTCATGAAGAACAGTTTACTAGCCAAACCCAACAATGTATTCACAACCAAGAACCAGTCAGTAGCCAACCTAGTTTCATTCAGCCTCTAGATGTTATGAGACTGCCATTTTTTAGCAGCACACAAGACTCCTTCCAGACCCAACAAACAAACCATAAAGTTAAGAGCCAACATTTCAAGTACATTCCATGTATTGTTGAAACAGAAGATTCAACCAAGGGCATAGAGTCTGATAAACATTTCAGCGAAAATCGACGTTCTGTTTATTTTAATGACCAAAACAAGAGTAACCATTTACTTATAGGGAAAAATAGTGTTTTTCAGAATGCTGATTTTCTATTAAGTTCAAATTCACTGGCTGAAGCTATGCCACAACCAAAGAACACCAGGCCGACAACCAATGGGTTCATTGGAATCAAACCAGTATTTTGCATACAGTTCAGTGTGTTTTTTGTCTACAATTAAAGAGAAGAGAAACAGGAGAAAGATATCAGACAATGAAAGAAAACGCAAAAGTTCCACTTCCCAAAGCAAAGAAAACCTCTTCGTTCAGGTGTTTCCAATCATAGTATGTCATACTTCAGAAAATGAGATGGTTAAGATGAAAGAAGAAGAAAATGGCGCACCAAAGGGAAATGTCAGATATAGCATTGCATCTTATTTTCATCTCTAAGCTTATTATCCCCCATATTAAAAAATATTTCTTAAAAAGTCTAATGGCAATCATTCCAGACTTAATACGACATGAACATTTTCTGCAGGAGCAAAATAAAGTCACAAGACACAGAGAAAAGCAATTATACATGTTCTATGGATAGAGAAAGGCTGGGCATTATTGAAAACATAGAATACTTGTTCATGGTTAACACTCATGAACTGGCAGCTCCTTGTTCAGTATTTGAAACAAACAGAGAGAGCAAGGAGTCTAGTGAAGACTCAGTTCGTCAGACATTTGACCAGGAGGGGCTTTCAGGACTGTCATCAGACTCTGCACAGGAAGATGTTTCATTACTCCAAATAGAATCAAACAGGAAAGAATGCACAGAAGGACATACAAAGTACAGGGAGTGCAGAGGAGGTAACAGTCAGTATACCAAAGATATGAAGGTACTTTTCCAAAGATGGTGTGGAGATGCCAAAAATCCAGTGGAAATTGTTCTGAACTTTCCAGGTATCAATTGATTTTCCCTGAGATCCTAAAAGCATAACAAACGTGAATTAAAAGACATAAATATTCAAATGATTACAGGAAGCATAAATCTGAAGGATTTATATATTACAGAATGTGGTAACCCAAGTGATAGTGAGAAGCTGGAATTGGGACCCTAGTAGCAATAAAAAAATAGACATCAAGATGAAAGGATGTCAGATCCCTACCATAATACTATGCAGGCTACCATTTCTGAACCCTTTGATATGGAAATATGTAATAACTTAAAAGCCAATGAAGGCACACTGACAATAAATTGTAGTCACAGTGCACTAAAGCAAAAGAAACTACTAGATAAAAATAAATACAGGAAGTAAAGCATATTAAATATGCATCCTTTAGGTACATGCCTAAAAGTGGAATTGCTGGATCTTGAGGTAGACTTGATTCCCATCTTCCTGAGAAACTGTCATACTGATTTCCAAAGTGGCTGTCACCAAAACACCAAATAATCCAATTAAAAAGTGGGGTACAGAAGCCAGGGTGTTGGTGGCACAAGCTTTTAATCCCAACACTGGAGAGGCAGAGACAGGCATATCTCTGTGAGTTTGAGGCCAGCCTCGTCTATACAGATAGTTCCAGGACAGGCTCCAACGCAATACAGAGAAACCCTGTCTCAACCTCCCCCAAAAAGCTGGGATACGGAACTAAATTCTCAATAAAGGAATCTAAAATGACTGAAAGACACATAAGAAATTGCTCAATATCCTTAGCCATCAGGGAAATGCAAATCAAAACAACTCTGAGATACCATCATACACCTGTCAGAATGGATGAAATCAAAAACACCAACAATAGTTTATGCTGGAGAGGATGTGGAGAAAGGGGTACACTCCTCCACTGCTGGTGGGAGTGCAAACTTGTCCAGCCACTTTTTAAACCAGTATGGTGGTTTCTCAAGCTAAATGCATTTTTACCTGAATGTTAAAAACATTGATTGCATTGCTGAAAGTAGTGCATTCTACAATAGAGAAAAAAAATTCAAGAAGTGAAACAGAAATCTTTTTTGCAGGTATTTCCACAGCATGGCAAACACTAGTGGGCTGATGCAGATCAAAGGAAGGACACTCTCACAAATGAGCCAGACCCATCATGCATCTCTTAAGTCAAGAACAACCTGCTGTCTGGGTGTAAAGTGCCAAAAAATTCCCTGAAAAGTGCTTTGGAGACCAGCCTACAAATGGCTCTCATCCAAGGTGAAGGATTACAGAAAACTACCAAAACAAAAAATGGCATAAACTTCCCTCTAATTCCTAAAATTTTTATCTTCTGCAGCAGAGACCTCTTCATCTGGTGAATTTACAAATATGACAGATGATTTAGAATCTGATGAAAACTCTGAACATGAACGAGATTTGTAAACTACAGAAAAAGATTCAGAGACATTCCTGCTGTCTTCTGATTCCGTTACAAGACCCTTTGTTTCTAGACATAAGGGAAGAGAAAAGCACTAAGATCAGCAGTGAGACAGAGATACAGAACCATGAGGGAAATAAAACCATCTATTTCACAGTCAGTTAACTGTAAGTATAGCAAAAAACAAAACAGAAAACAAAAAACAAAACAAAACAAAAAACCCAAACCACAAAGAAATGAAATATCCACAGCAGCAGAGGGTTAACATAGCAGGTGCCTGTTTGGACTTCATTCACTCCAAGGTATATCTTTCCCAACCGAAAAATTAGCAATTCAAAACCATGGACAGATAAGCAGAGAATAAGAAGTATTGATCTTATACAATGAATGCAAGAGAAATCAGCAGATGTAAGAAACACACTGTCTAGGTTCTGCTATTTGAGTAGTTCCTCTAGCATGAAGAAGTATGAAGAGGAAAGAGAAGAGGAACCAGAACATTTCCTGATCTCAGAAAACAGCCCCAGCCTTATATTTGATATGTATCAAGAAAAAGACCATGACTTTGTTAGATCAGATAAACAACTGAACCAAGTAGGGAGAACAATTACTCAGGTACAAGCACAAACCCCATCAGAAATTATTTCCTGTTCTACTCTATTCCCCATCCCAGATGAACTTCAACTAGAAAAGCTAGAGGGCTGTGTCACTGTTTCCCCTCTAACGTTTGGGGAAACCAAGGATGGTGCACTATCTGAAGGAGAATGCGATCTGTCTGATGAAAGACGACACTAGGGACAGGCTGCAGACAGTGAAAAGGTGGTGAGGGAGTTCTCAGCCTCATGCACACATCCAACCCATAATGGGGAATTGAAATGTGACTCAACCAAAGTGAAAGGCATGTATCCAGGGGGGAAATGTCTAGATGAAACATCCGATTTGACAGATGTTGCACTGGATATTAATATGAGCAGCAAGATAGAAACAGAAGAGGGCACACCAAGCAAAAACAAAACTGTTCTACTGTTCTATACCAAGGAAGTCAGAGATACCACTTCATGAAGGGAAGGTTGCTTTAGATGACTTCAAAGAAATTGATCTTCAAGATAAAGAAGAAAAGGAAAATGGTGATGACACATTATTAAAGTCATTCCCACAGTATAGCCAACATTGTGCACTTTGTTCCCATCAACGCAGGGATCCTAACTCTCACAAATTAAGGAAACAAAGAGGGAAGACCATTCTGTCCATTGTGGAACAGGACATTCCACAGCCAAGTCAGGCAGCAGGTCTAACACAGTGTGCCATGTGTACATCAAGTTCAAAGGTTCCTCCTTTATGATCAAAGAATCACAAATGGATGAGGTTAACACTAATAGAACAAAAAAAAAAAAAATGGCATCCCTGCTGATGGGACTCATGCACAGAACTGAAAGTTGGGATAGATTGGAAAGAGAAGGGTTTAACAATGACCTACAAGCAACCATTACAGACTCTTTGAATCTCTCAGCCCCCAATGTACTAAGATCTAAAAGGAAAGGCAAAGTATCTACATTCAAAGCCTTACAAGGTAAAATATGTTCAACTGGTGTAACTATGAAAGGAAGGACAACATCTGTCTCCAAGGTATTAACTATTTCACAGTGTGATCATAGAAAAAAAATCTACTTCCAAAGACCCTAAAATCACAGATTTCTGAATTAATATATTCTAGTGTCATACCTGATAGTCTTAATGTAATAGTATTGAATGATCCAACAGCAGAGAAAAATAAAATATTATTAACCCAGGAACTGGCAGAAACAACGTTAAGAGTCTTTGAATTTCTCCACACCTACATCAAAAGAGAGAATTTAAAACTCATGAACATGGGAAATGAAATGGTTAACAGTTGTCTATCTGTCAAAACAAGGAAGGCAGCAATCTCTCAGACACTACTGCAGGATGTGGAACACCAAAACAAGGAAAACTCATGGCAGGTTCGTCCCTAAATGCCATCTTTTCCCCTATGCCTATGTCTCTTGATCTGAACACATGTGGTGGGATACAAGATAGGGTTGTGATGTGGAAAATGAGTCTTAGTCCTGAGCTTCACAACCAATCAGAACATGAAGAGAGAGCTCGGTGTACACACCACATGGACAAGGATACTTCCTCAAACCAAAGATATAAAAGGTCAAGGTGATGAAGAGGGCCCACTGACTTCCTAACATTTTGGTTTCAGTCCTCAGAATATGGCAGGGCCTAATTCTGTGCAATCTGGTTTACAGCTGATTAATTCAGCAACTTATCCAGAGTTAGAGGAAGTTCTATACGATGGGCAAACACAGCCAGTCAATGTGAATAATTTACAAAATAGCATGGTGGGTGTAATGTCTTCTCTTCTAAATACAGAGGATTCTAAGATTGGATCCATACCGTGTAATAACACCTGGGATGAAAATCCCAGGAGAAAATGTGACTATCCCATTTCTGAACAAAAAGCACAGAATCAAAAGGACTTAACATCTTTGGAACCATTACAGGAGCCCAGCCTGTGTCAGCTGAATGCAAATGTGAGAGTTGCATATTAGAGTTTCCAGGAAAAAGAGATATAATGTCCCAAGAAAGGCAAGCTTCAGGGCTACTTAATATTACAAGGCACTATACAAGAGTCCATAGAAAGAAAGGGCACCATAATAGTAAACACCAATTGAAATAGGTTGAATGTGTGGAAGAAGCACTACTTTACGCTATTGAAGACTCTGAGAGTTGTTCACTCAAATTCATAACTGATGAACTGTCATCACTTGATACAGCAGAAAGGGCTGCTTTTTCTAACAGAATACCTCAAAGATCAATGGCAGAGGAAAAGTCAGAGTTCCAAGCAAACTTAGCCACATTGGGACCTTACAATTTTTTCATACCTGTTTTATCTGACTTTAAAAGCCAGGTAAGCACAGTAAAATTGTCCAAACATGAAGTTTGGAGGCCAGGGCAGTCTATGGAGTTTCTGGCAGTGGAACCGGTATTTATTCTTAGTGGGGTAAAAGACTTTAGGAGCCCATTCCCTATTAGATTAGATACAGAGGAGAGGGCCTAGGCCCTGTCCCAAATAATGTGACAGACTTTGATGACCCCCATGGGAGGCCTCACCCTTCCTGGGGAGGAGGGGAGGATGGGAGGGAGAGGGAACCAAGATTGGTATGCAAGATAAGATTGTTTTTAATTTAAATAAAAAAGAAATTACGTTAAATAAGAGATTTTCAACTATGAAAAAATAGAAGCCATCAAATTCAAAGATAATTATCACAAACCATAAAAAGAAATTTAAATTAAGAGCCAAAATTAAAGCAATATGGCTCAGTTAAAACATAACTGATGTACTTCTAAACACTATTCCCTTCATATTAACAAACTCTAATGGGAAAAGTACATTCAAAACAGATATAGTCTTGGGAGTACCAAGGGAGTCACCAGTTGAAGGCATAGCAGAGTATGATGATTCTGTTGACAAAGGTGGTTCTAATTTTTTTTTAAAAAAATTTATTTAATATTTTTTCTTATTTTACATTTTGATTCCACTTTCCTCTCTCTCCCATCCTCCCATTCCCCCACTGGCTCCCCCATCCCATCCTCCATCCAGGGAGGGTGAGGCTATTCATAAGGGATCATCAAAATCTGTCAAGTCATTTGGAGTAGGGACTAGACCCCCCACCACGCCATGTCTCTAGGCTAAGAGAGTATCTATTCATGGGGCATGGGCTCCCGAAGTCTGTTTGTGCACTAGGGGTACATCCTGGTTCCACTGTCAGAGGTCCCATACACTGCCCAGACCCACATTCAGACTGGATGGGTCCTATGCTGGTTTCCCAACTATTAGTCTGGGGTTCATGCGCTCCCCCTTGCTCAGCTCAGCCGTTTCTTTGGGTTTCTCCAGCCTGGTCTTGACCCCTTTGCTCATCACTCCTCCCTGTCTGCAACTGGATTCCAGGAGTTTGACTCAATGTTCAGCTGTGTGTGTCTGCCTCGGCTTCCCTTAGCTATTGAATGAAAGCTCTAAGATGGCATATAAGGTAGTCTTCAATCTCATTATCAGGGAAGGGCATTTAAGATAGCTTCTCCACTATTGTTTAGGTTATTAGTTGGGGTCATCCTTGTAGGTCTCTGGACCTTAGTGCCAAATTTCTCTTTAAACCTATAATGGCTCCCTCTATTATGATATCTCTTTTCTTGCTGTCCTCTATCCTTCCCCTGACTCAATCTTCCTGCTCCTTCATGTTCTCCTCTCTCCTCCTCTTCTCCCCTTTTCTTTCTCCTAACTCCCTCTCCCCTCCCCTGTTGCTCTCAGTTTCCTCGGGAGATCTTGTCCCTTTCCCCTTCTGTATGTTTCTCTAGGGTCCTCCTTGTTTCCTAGTTTCTTTGTAGGCTGGTGATCCTTTGCTTTATGTCTAAAATCCATATATGAGTGAGCACGTACCATGTTCCTCTTTTTGTGACTGGGTTACCTCAGGATGTTTTTGTTTTTTTCCAGTTCCATTCATTTGCCTGTGAATTTCAAGATTCCATTGTTTTTTTTTTTCTGCTGATTAGTACTCCATTATGTAAATGTACCACATTTTCTTTATCCATTCTTCAGTTGAGGGGCATCTAGGTTGTTCTAGCCATTAAAAATAATGCTGCTATGAACATAGTTGAACAGATGTCTTTATTGCATGAATGTGCATTTTTTGGGTATATGCCTAAGAGTGGAATTGCTGGCTCTTATGGTAGACTGATTCCCATTTTCCTGAGGAACCACCATATTGATTTCCAAAGTGGCAGTACAAGTTTGCACTACCACCAGCAATGGAGGAGTGGAGGAGTGTTCCCCTTTCTCCACATCCTCTCCAGCATTCTTAAAGGAGTAAGATGGTATCTCAGAGTTGTTTTGATTTGCATTTCCATGTTGACTAAGGTGGTTGAGCACTTTCTTAAGTGTCTTTCAGCCATTCTAGACCTTATGTTGAGAATTCTCTATTTAGTTCTGTACCCCACTTTTTAATTGGATTATTTGGTGTTTTGGTGACTAACTTCTTGAGTTCTTTGTATATTTTGGAGATCAGCCCTCTGTCAGATGTGGGGTTGGTAAAGATCTTTTCCCATTCTGTGGGCTGCGGTTTTGTCTAGTTGACTGTGTTCTTTGCCTTACAGAAGCTTCTCAGTTTCAGGGGTCCCATTTATTAACTGTCATTCTCAGTGTCTGTGCTACTGGTGTTATGTTCAGGATTAGCTCATGAAGGTATACCTTCACAGATGAAGGAGTCAGCAGGCTAACAGTCACCTCATGGTGGTGACCATGCTGCTATAAACATAAATGAGACACAGGATTTTAGAATCTTGGAGATAAAATTAAATAATTGTGAGGTGAAATAGAGATATAAAATACATCTATACATGTATGCCAATTCAACATATAAAAATGGGGACATCTCACAACATGTGGGATATTATGAGGAATCTGCAAAAGAAAATTGCCTAGACAAAGCAAAGGTGACGAGGGAAGAAGAGTTTGGACAGCTGCCATTTGGAGTAGATCAAATGAGACCACCTTATCCTTCCAAATCAGAAGTACGTTCTACCAACACAGTGCACACTGCAAGGGTATCATGCTTCAGAAAACAGCTATTTGTTTAATAGATCAAGAAGGAAATGCACAAGTTGGAGTTTAGCCAAGAGTTTGTTCTTTCCTCTAATATACATACTCTTCAAATTGAAAGGCAGAACAATGAATTTAAAGCAGTTTGTAAAACAAAGTCCAAGTCTTTTGCCCTTCCAAAGAAACAGAAAAGCCTAACATCTTAGGACCTACATGGAGTTCTTCTGCCAATAACACAACCCATCCTGAAACCATAAGACAGAAAGATAAAGCAAAAATATCAAATGTGAAAAGTACTGTGTGTGCCAAACAAATAAAGCTGAAGGCAAAGAAAATACCGGTTCCTCTACTTCTTGGACATGAGGACAGAAGCAATAAAAAAGAACTAGGACATAGCATGCAGAACCAGAATACATTAGAGCTGAGGAGAAATGTACAAAACCTGATTCTAAAAGCTAATTTTGACTCTAGATGCTTTATACCCCCAGTTAAAAAGTTTGCCAGTGTAAAACTGGAAAAGGGCAAGTTGAAGGAGAGAAAACAAAGCATTCTTCCATAGATAATTCTGGAGAAACCATTCAACCAAGCAAATGTCATGATCAGGATGTGTTGATGGAACCTAGGAATGGATACCTAGGAAACCAGAAGAAAATATTAAAGAGACATATCATCACTGCATTTTCAAGGACATTCACCAGCAATTTACACAAGAATTTTGGGTTAAGTCAGAAGAAGTTAAAGAGCATCACTCTTGCAAATTAGAAAATTTATGAAGAAAGATGAATTTTGAGTTAACTTCACAGAAGGATGAAACTGATAACCTGGGGCTAGCTACCTCAAGAAGTAGAGGAGGAGCAAACGTCTACATCGACCCACAGACACCCTGCAACAGGAATATTCCCTAAAGCAAGGGATGCGGAGACCAGGAATGATTCTTCAGACTATGAATGAGTTTCATAATTCTGGAATGACAAATGAATTCATAACAACAACAACAAAAAACATCAAACCATCAAGTCCACAGAGGATAGGAGGAATGGAAAGTAATGGATAACGCATTAGTCCAAAGAAATCATTGCTTATTGCCAGGATTATGGTACAGCAACAAAACCTTTTCAAAGATCCACTTTTGAGATCCATTCCCTCTCATGTACCATACCAACCTCATACTGAAGAGCCAAAGGAAAACATAAAAATAAGTGACAAAATTAAAGAATTCAGCTCAACAGCTGAAGAAAATCTCAAATGCAGAATATACTTCATATGTGGATCACATTCTGAGAAGTATTGAAAAACTACTCTTGCTTGTTAAAGAGTAGGAAAAGAGGAGAAAAAAGTAGAGGGGTAAAACAATTGAAATAGTGGAGGACATAAAAACAACAATGAAGAATCCCATTCTGCTTCTAGATTATTTACTACCTGAAACACAATAAATAACAGTGGTGTGTTCAGGCAAAGAGATGGTACAGAGGCAAACAGGAGTGTGGCCACATTGTGGAGACAGCAATGGTTGTTTGTACAAGGGACAAGCATAGACTGTGTTTACACACATGAGCTTCCTTCAAAGTTATACGTCACAACAAAAGGAGAACAACTTTCATATTAAGTGTCCTGTATCACAAAAGCATAAAAATGAAAGTGAAGAATACAGCTTCTGGAAATTTGCCAAACATTGCAGGACCATAACTGTAGAAAGGAACTAAGACACAGCACTAAGACACGGAAAAAGCTTCCCCAAGGAAACACTGAGGCAGATTTACTTTGGAAGGGATTTTTTTTTTTTTTGTGCTCCTGGCTACATTGCATCTCAAATTAAAAATCTTACAGGAGTAAAAGGGGAAAGACAAACCATGAAGGCCATATATTCCTCCACAGCTGGAAATGAAGAAAACATTGAATGAAACTAAAAGGTTATCTGTGCAGCCCATTGATAAAAATTCAAGCACTAACAGAAAATTAACAGTATATACTATAAAGCAAAAAGAACACCAAATGCTTTTACTACCTATTACCCCACAAAATAAAGATCAGAGTTAATGACTGGCCAAAAGGTAGAGGAATCTAGACATATTAACTCCAATGTCCATTTGGACAAAGAAGCATGCTATGTCATGTTCCAGAGACTGGAGAAACTAATTATGGTAGGCTTTAGTTTCAAAGACCCAGAGCAGGTAAAGAACTTGAATTCTCGACAGCACAAAGAGTAAAGCAAGAAGTTATGAAAGATTCTATCAAACATGCACTTTTAATTCTGCCCACAAGAGGAGGACCTGAAAAGATGAATATTTCAAGTTCCAATTGGCATGGCATATATCTCATGGAGCTGGATACTTTCCAGAAAAAAAGACATGTAAGGTGCAAGAACTGCTTAGACAAGAAAACACTTTGAGGGTAGGCTTGGGGCCCATTGCCTGCCCAGTTACGGAGTCCTTTCACTTGGAAAACACAAAGGTAGCTAAAGAAGTGGGCATGTATAATAACATAAAAATATTCCCCATCTATCTGGATTAAGAGAAACTGATACAGAACTTGGTTCCAAAGCACAGGCATTCCTCCGCACAGATCTAGAAGATCTATACAAAACAGGTACAGCTCAGAGGGGCCCTGCAAAGTCAGGTCACAGGCCTCAAATCCTTCTGAATTCTATACCTTGCCACCAGAGGGCTCCTCTTCACTTAAAATCAAGCTTGAGTACAAGGAAGGGCAGTGGTGACCTTGCCTTAGGTGCCAAAATGAATCTCAAGGAAAAAAAGAGAAAGCTGAGTCAGCCGATAATCCATTAAAATTAAACAGACAGAAAATGGACATTTAAAAAAATTGAGGGCAAAACCTATTTTTACCCAGAATAAAGAAAAAATACTGGAATTTTTAAAAATCTTGTATATTGTATCAACTTCAGGCTGAACATACACAGAAACAAATTTCAGCAAAAGCAGCACTAGATTCAAAGATTTTTAACGCAGTGGTAGAAAAAGCATCAAGTGAAGTTAAGATTCTAGAAGGAATTAACCTACACACTAAAGGGGGAGCAGATCATTGCAAAAGTGCATGTGAGACTTTTCCAGTGTCTAATACTCACAACCTAATGGATATACATTGAATTACAACACCAGGGGTAAAGAAAGCACTAAAAGCAATAGATAACCTGGACTATCACACTTTAAATACAGAAAAGGGAGAACATAACAACAGGATCAAAGAAAAAAAACAGTAACAAATCTGTCATTTCCCCTCGAGAATTGGGAGGAGCATATATAATGTTCCCAAAAGTACTCTTATATCCAGCCACATTTAGAGCCTCACACAAAGGAAATATTTTCAAAAGTAGGCAGTGTCAAGCAGGACAAAGGAACCAGATTTGTTATCTAAAGATCAACGAAGTACAGTGTGTGGAATGTAGACCAGAGTGAATTTTCCCCTCAGTTATTCTAGATCAAACTGCCTTTAGAGTCAGGCAGTAAAACTAAATGTCCAAGACTTTTGTCATCTAAAACAAAGCAGTTGTCTGATGGGGAATAGATAAGTAAGTCAGTGTCAAATGGTAGCTCATCCATGCCAAGAGTCAGGAAAAAGGAACCATCTCATAGAGCAAGCAAAAAGAAGCAAGACGTGTGTCTGCCTACGCTGTTCTTACACTGTCTTTCAGTGTGTATGCAGTTTTTGCATGAAAATGAAAAACAGAAGGGTAACATAGAATACAGAGTTATAAAAGACACAATATGCCCTGGGAGAAAAGCTCTAGAATGGAAGAAAATAGTACTTCCACATATTAGTTCCACCGAATATACTCCAAGCAATAAAGCAGAACTGTAGTGCTACAGAAAGTGATATGCATAAAACATGGAAAGGACAAGCCAGGTTCAGCTGAAATAAAAGCATGTGTTCCTACCCCCTTTACCTCACTTTGAATTGGATAAAGAGATAACTGATGTGCATTTCAAGAAATGTAACACAAGAAAAACATGAACTACAGGGAGAAAAGAATGGTATAAAAGGAAGGGAGTAATAGACCTTAAAGATAGAGGGATTATCACTGTCTTATCCTCCCAGTAGAAAGAAATTAACTTTACTATTTCACACACACACACACACACACGCACACACACACACACACACACACACACACACACACACACACACCAGAAGAAAAAGAGAGAGAAAGGCCACAGTATAAGAAGGACTGAGTAAATCAGATATGAAACTGATGGAATCTTTTATTTCATTACTATCTCTATTGCACTTTAATTTGAATTCAAGGGTAAAAGTGGGAAAAAATAAGTCAAGACTACTAAATAGCTGCTTCCAACCGCTAAAGCACTTGCTGTTACTGGAAGGCAGAAAAGTGCCATTTTCAAAGGCATTTAGTAGAGATAACTTATACAAGATAATAGAATTAAAGTGCCTCCCATAAAGGAAAGAATATAAGAATAAAACACTAGATTTGAAAGATATAATAGACCTCATATGTGTTACTGAAAATGAAAAAAAAAAAAGTCACCTTTTAAATGCTTACTACATGGGAAGGAACAATGATGGAACAATAAAATACAAAAAATTATCCAGGGCAATAAAAATAATCTAGATGTAGTTCAGAATAAACCTGAGGATTCTGCTCCTTCTTCTGGAATGGGACCCTAAAATAATGGAGGCATATTTACAAGGAAAAACAAACTTCTGCCTTGGATCATCAGCACTGTCAGAATTATCATCTGCAATAGGAATGCACCAGGAGCCAACTGATGGTATTTCGAGCAGTACTGAAAAAGCAAAACATACCATTGAAATATAGATTGCAAATGGCTCCCAAGGAAGTGGGATTCGCTTTGAGACAGAAATTGTCATCAGCATTACAGGGATTACAATTTGATGTTAAAGAAAAAGCAGAAAAAAAAATGCAGGAAAAAAAAAAAAAAACAAATTAAGGATTGAAAAAACTTTCCATACATTCTTTCCTTACTCTGAAGTGAACACAAGGATAAATGGAGAGGCAGCTATGCAAGTAAGAACCCAATCTTCTAGTCATCACCCAAAGTTCAAATGACCATTAGGTATAAGAGAAATAATTTATATAAAGTCTAACTTTGAACCATCTTGAACAATGGAAAATATTCCATAGAATATGTATTCCAGAAAGAAGAGAACACAAACCCTGGGAAAAAAAACACATTTGGCCAGGCGTTGGTGGCCCATGGCTTTAATCCCAGCACTTGGGAGGCAGAGGCAGGCAGATCTCTGTGAGTTAGAGGCCAGCCTGGTCTACAGAGTGAATTCCAGGACAGGCTCCAAAGCAATACAGAAAAACCCTGTCTCAAAACAACAACAAAAACAAACAAACAAACATGCATTTGAAAGAAAAAAAACATCAGTTTCACAGAAAATTCAGTTAGATATCACAGAACCAGTATCAGCATGTGGTTTAATTTTTTAACAAAAAAGTTAAAGATGAACTTAATGTGGTTGAAACAAGTACCAGCATGTGGATGCCTTCTCCTTGTTTAAAATCAGAGACAAGGGTAGAAAAAGCAGATGCTATAACTGAAGTAGCACTATACTCTCTGGCAGAATTATCACTCCAGACTTCATCAGCTACACTGGGTGAAGTAAGTGAAGAGTGGGCCAAGGGTCATAGCACTAGTGCCACACTGAAACGGGAGGACCATATGCCACAGAAAGCAGAGCATGAAGTGAAAATATTTGGTGAGAAAGTCACAATGCATACCACAGATAAGGGCTGCAAAGGAAATAAAACACTCTCCCAGGATTTATTTTCAAGTTCTACAGAGCAAGGAGAAATAGATCCACAAAATGAAGATCAAGAAAGAGGGCATGGACAGGACAAAAAAAAAGCCAACAGAACTTTAATAATGATAGCAAAGACCAAGAGAAAATGGGTCTAAATTACACAAACCAAGGGAAACGCAGTCAAGATGATAGGGAGGAAAATGAAAAGAATCCAGAGGGTAGAGAGCAGGGAGAAGCAGGTACAGATGGCCAGGAACAAGAGGAAGGCTGTCCAGAAAATAGAGAGCAAGAGACATGGAATCACAAATGTGGCACTCAAAGGAATCTGAACCCCAACAGTACAGAGCCAGGGAAAGCAGACCAACAAGGGGAAAGCAAAGAGGAAGTAGCTCCCAAGTGTCTTCCTTCTAAGTCTCCTCATAAGCTGATGTCTAACAGAGCAGAAGGAGAAGAAGAGAGGCAAGGAACCATAAAATCAGCTAATTCACAATTACAGCACCAGAAATTGCTTGAAACAGGAAAAACTGAACAAACAGAGTTGACTGAGGATGATGGTAAGTCAAATGCAAAAAAAAAAAAAAAAAAAGGAAGCACTGTGGCACTGTGAGTCACAGACATGGATGGATAGAGGAAAAAATGTGCATACAAAAGATGTAATATGCCCCAAAGACACAAGTTCCAACTTACCCTTTGGTAAATCCATCATCTTGTTGAGGCAGGGCCAAGGCACCTCTCTACCCCATGTCTAAGCTGAGCAAGCTATCTCTCTATATACAGAATGGACTCCACTAAGTCAATTTGTGCATTAGAATTAGATCTTGGACCCACTGCCAGTAACCTCATATATTGTTCCAGATGTGCCATTGTCACCTATATTCAGGGAGTCTAGTCGGTCTTATGCAGATTCCTCAGTTGTCAGACTGGAGTCACTTGCTTGGGTCAGCTGATTCTGTGGGTTTCCCTATCATGGTCTTGACTCCTTTGTTCATATTATCACTCCTCCCTCACTTTGATTGTACTCCAGGAGCTTGGCCCACTGCTTAGTTGTGGATTTCTGCATCTGCTTTCATCTGTTTCTGGAAGAGAGTTCTAGCTTCTCTGGGGTTGTGGATTGTAGGCTGTGTATCTTTTGCTTTATTATCCACTTATGAGTGAGTACTTACTGTATTTGTCTTTCTGGGTCTGGGTTACCTCACTCAAGGTGTTTTGTTGTTGTTGTTATTTTATTTTGTTTTGTTTTTGTTTGGGGGTTTTTATTGTTGTTGTTTTTTGTTCTGTCCATTTGCCTGCAAATTTTAGGATGTCATTGTTTGTTACTGCTGAGTAATAATCCATTGTGTAAATGTACCACATGTTTTTTATCCATTCTTTGGTTGAGGGGCATCTAGGTTGTTTCCCAGTTCTGGCTATTGTGAATAATATTGCTATGAACGTATTTGAGCAAATGTTCTTGTTGTGTGTGTGTGTGTGCTTCCCTTGGGTATATGCCCAAAAGTGGTATTACAGTGTCCTGAGGTAAGATGATCCCTAATTTTCTGTGAAATTGTCATACTGATTTCTACAGTGACTGTACAAGTTGGCACTCCCACCAGCAATGAATTGGAATGCTTATTCCCCTTATTCCACACCCTCTCTAACATAAGATTTCATTAGTGTTTTTGATCTCAGCTATTCTGACAGGTGTAAGGTGGTATCTCAGAGTTCTTTTTGTTTGCATTTCCCTGATGGCTAAGAATGTTGAGCAATTCCTTAAATACCTTTCAGCCATTTGAGATTCCACTGTTGAGAATTTTCTGTTTAGATCTGTACCCCATATTTTAATTGGATTATTATCTGACAGAGGACTGATCTCCAAAATATACAAAGAATTCAAAACTAGTCACAAAATACCAAATAATATGGTCATAACTTCTTCGGATGCCTTTAATTTAGGCAATGTAGAGGTAGTTGAAACAGAAGTAATGCAAAGCCTGTGCTATATCCTATGCCACAAGAATCATCGCCTGTAGGGCAAGTAGTATCTTCAAAGGTCATTTCTAATCACGGGAAGAAAAGAAAACTGCATCTACTACGGGAAGAAGAGGAAGTACCAACATCAGCAATTGATGGTTTGACACACTCCAATGGCCCAATTTTCAAGGCAAAGACTTGAACCTCCCTGTGTGTCCAGTGTGAATAAACATAGTATCCTGGGCAAGAAAAAGTCTCATGGGTGGAGTATAGTAATAATAAATACACAGGACAGAAACAGTAAAGAGCAAGACACCCTAATGTGGTTGTAACAAAAAGTGATGCTTCTGCATCAGTGCCTATAGGGCAAGTAATATCTACAAAGCAAATTGCTAAATGTGCTAAAAAGAGGAAACAATATCCAGCATAGGAAGAAGTAAAAACCTCAGCCATTAATGGTTCCACATGCTCCAGTGGTCTAGTTTTGCAAGCAAAGATATCTGCACCTCCTCATGTGTTGAGTGTCAGTGGGAACAGTATTCCCAGAAAGAGGAAGCAGTAAAAAAAAGGCAGGACAGAAACAGGGAAAACCTAGAGAGTCCAATATTTTTGCAACAAGGAATGATATTTCCATGCCTTCTGCTCATCACCATGGATTGTCTCCTCTACAGGAAGATTTTCTTATGGCATCATGTACAGTACAGGGGAACTCACACATGCATGTTCAAATGAAGGCATTAGCCTACCTAATGTGATAAGTAAAGCCAATATACAAGAGTTATATGATGAGGCAAAGTTCAGTGTAACATTTAAAAACACCAAAGACATAATAACTTTGAAAGCAAGAATATCCCCACCTGCACATTTTAATGACAGCATGCCACCTTTTAGTATTAAATATTAAAGTGCAAATGAAAGAACCTAAGCAAGGCAAAAGTGAACCAACAATGATAGTTCTAAAGGAAGCAGCTTCTATGCCTTTTCCATCTTTCCTGAAGTCAGACACTAGAGTGAGTGAAGAGGAAGATATATTAGGAGAAACACAAATTTCTTTTCTACCACCACCGACTAAAGACATATCAGAGTCAGACAAAAGAACATGCATGGAATCATCAGGTAATGTGCTAAGCAACAGAAAAGAACCAACACATGAAGAACCTTACTCATTACACATAGCAGCATTATTTGTAATAGCAAGAAACTGGAAGCAACCTAGATGCCCCTCAGCTGAAAAATGGATAAAGATGTGGCACATTTACACAATGGAGTACTACTCAGCAGGGGGAGGGGGGGCAATGGAATCTTGAAATTTGCAGACAAATGGGTAGAACTTGAAGAAACCATCCTGAGTGAGGTACAAAAAGTACCTCAGTCACAAAAAAGAGGAACATGGTATGTACTCATTCATCTATGGATTTTAGATATAGAGCAAAAGATCACCAGCTGACAATCCACACCACCAGAGAAACTAGGATACAAGGAAGAACCTAAGAGATTCATACAAAATCCCTCACAGAAGGGGAAAGGAACAAGATCTCCTGAGCATATTGGGAGTGGGGGGGCAGTGAGTGGAGAAGGAATTAGGAGAAAGAGAAGGGGAGGAGAGGAGAACCTGTGGGATTAGGAAGATTCAGTTGGGGGACGAATAGATGAGAGCAAAAAAAAAAAAAAAAAAAAAAAAAAAAAAGAGAGAGAGAGAGAGAGAGACAGAGAGGGAGAGAGACCAAAACAGAGGGAGCCATTAGAGGTTTGAAGAGAAAACTGACTATAGAGAAATGTCCAGAGACCTACAAGGTTGACCCCAACTAACAATCTGAGCAACAATGGAAAGGCTACCTTAAATGCCTTTCCCTGATAATGAGATTTATATGCCATCCTAGAACCTTCATGTAGTAGCTGATGGAAACAGAAGCAGACACCCACAGCTAAACACTGAGCCAAACTCCTGGAATCCAGATGCAGAGGAGTGATAAGAGATGGGGCCAATACCAGGCTACAGAAACCCACAGAGACAGCTGACCTAAACAAGGAGGAGCTCATGGACCCCCAGACTGACAGCTGAGAAACCAGCATTGGACCAACTCAGACCCCCTGAACATGGGTCTCAGTTGGAAGGCCTGGGCAGTCTAAGGGGCCTCAGACAGTGGGACCAGTATGTGTCTCTGGTGCACAAAAGGACTTTGAGAGCACATTCCCCATGGAGGGATACTCCCTTAGCCTAGAGACAGGAGGGAGGGCCTAGACCTTACTCCAAATGACTTGACAGATTTTTATGATCCCTCCTGGAAGGCCTCACCCTCCCTGTGGAGTGGGTGGGGAATGGGATGGGAGGGGGGTCAGGGAACAAGGGAGGGAGGGGAGGAGAAAAGAAGGGAGAGGGAACTGGGATCGATATGTAAGAATATCAAAATATATTTAAATAAAAATATGAAAGACAAAGAGATCATCAAATCAATGGATAAAAGGGTAAAAAAATTACCATGGTCACATACACTCAGTATTAAGAAGTTGCAGAGGAAAAACTTGTGGATCTGGCATATACAATTATAGCATCACCCATCTCACAATTGCAACTCAATAAATTTTTAGGTGCACAGATAGAGAAGCTGATAGAGAAGTTTACAGTGAGATAAAATTACTGAAACAACACGTGCCATAGAAAGAAAAGGAAGGTGAAGAACAGCATGTGGATATAAACAGTATAATGCATGCCAAGGATATATATTGGAACAAAGAAATAACCTATTTTACATATACAGAATATGAGTGAACTTCAGTGGAAAACTAAACAGCAAGGAGAAAAGGTCAAATAAGATTGAAGTGAGCTAGGTGTAGCATTAACTAAGAAGTTGACTATGACATCCACTGCTATGTCTCCCCAATCTATCCTTACTGTGAATGCCACGGTCAAGGAAGAATGTACTCCAATGTTAACAAGATCCTCTGTTTCCTTGAGATACTTCCAGAAATCGTCAGATTCTGAAGGAGGCATTTACACACAGCCAATTCCCGGAGATACTTCAATTAGTCTACAAAATGAAAAACAACATATGTCAGAGGAAAAGGAAAAAGCTGGAATGAAAATAGCAAAGATCATAACTCACAAATATCAAGAAATAAAGGTGTAGAATGAACAAGGTGAGCAAGGCTTAGTGCTGACTAAATTCTCCCCTTTGTTACCACATCTGCTTCATCCCAAATTGCCTGAGAAAATAGAATTCAATGACACAAAACTAACACTTAGAAAGTCTGCTTTGCAGAGACTATCAACCAAAGGAGAAACTACATAAAAAGGCCATTGTTCAAAAACAACATATACCTCAGAGAGAAGAGTCATGTAAAAGAGAAGTAATGGACAGTCAAGGCACAGATATAAGTTTGAAATCACAAAAATTACTTCTGTCCCAGAAGTTCCACAGAAGAGAACTACATATGCATATTAATGCACCCAAACTGAAGGAACAAGACAATACAAGTGAATCTCAAGTTTTAAGAAAAATGTATAATCCTAAATCTTCTCCAGCTGACATTATCTTGTGTTAAGCTGTACAAGTAGATGAAGAAAGGCTATAAAGTACACTCTCTTCTTCCCCATTCCAACAAATATTTCCAGCATTATCAGATGCAGAGAAAATGGCAAACAAAGAGGTTGTGTGGAGCCATGTCAAAACGGCAAACAGCATACAAAACACATAGGAAGAACAGTAGACTTGACAATTGGGGTGCATTGCAAAAGGACAAAGGTCTCACCAATTTCATATCTCCTTAATACAAAGGAATCTGTCATGATTATGAAGGTACTGCAAAAAAGTACACAAAGACAAAAGTGAACTGACTGTGGTTGCAACACAGACTTTCCTATCCATCACCATCTTCTAGGTATTCACAAGACAAAACATAGAAAGGCACAGCAAGATTTACCCACAGGGAAATTTCCAGGAAACAGCAATGAGATAGTCAGCTGAAGTTGATTGTAACTGTATGGTTAAGGCAACAAAACACTATATGCTACAGAAACAAGCCAGGCCACAGAAGTCAAAGTCTGTGACCAGTGCCCACCAAATAAGTGAACCTCCACAAGTTGAGTCAGAATGTGAGTCAGTACCCCCGGGTCATAAAATTGATCTCAAAAGATTAGGTACCATTGAAAGGGGGGAAAATGCTGGATGTGTCTTTCAAAGGGTAAAAGAGCCAGTCAGAAAAATGTGAAAAAGAACATTCAACAAAGATTGGAATTGGAAGAAGGAAGATGAAATCAAAGATAATTGAAGTTACAAAACAAGTCCTAAGTTTTCAGTTTCTCCACCAAAGAAGTCACTCAAGGAAACACTGACCATAAGTGGCACCCTTGTATGTATGTTCAAAAGGGCCTGTGACAAAGACAGGACAGGAGACTGGCTCATGTAGGTATATTAAGCCGAAGAAAGAGTAATGCTATGATAAGCAAAGTGTTAACTCCAGAAAAGACATCTCAAAATAAGGGCTGGAGAGATGACTCTGTGGTTAAGAACACCATCTGGTCTTCCAGAGGTCCTGAGTTCAATCCCCAGAAACCACATGATGGCTCACAACCATCTGTAATGAGATCTGTTGCCCTCTTCTGGCCTTCAAGGCTACATGAATAAATAAATAAATAAATAAAATAAGAAAATATTAACATGAAAGAGCAAGCCATTCCTCGCTGCAAGAGTGGGGAGCAGACAAAGCCGGATTCCTTCCCTCTTCTTCTTTTTTTTTTTAAATCACTTATTTTTTTATTTTATTTTATATAACCAAGTCCATTTAAATGAAAACAAACATTTATAGACAATATTTAGGAATTTGGGCATGTTCTTTCCAAACTACTTCCTGCTGGTAAGGGGTGCTGTCATGGGGGATTCGAAGAAGATTCAGAAATCCTGGCTGTAGGCTGTCAGGCTGCTTTGTCCAGCTGTTTTGAATGTAGGACCACCTGTTAGTCTCTTTCAGGTGGTCTGGCTTGATCAAACCACATTACTCTGGAAGGAATCCACATCTTTTCATTTTCTGTGGAAACAAAAATAGAAATTCTTTTCCCCAGTAACTTGTCCTTGAACTTAAGTTTTGGAGTAAAAGCATTTTTTTAAATTTAATTTATTATTTTACATGTTGATCCCAGTTCCCTCTCCCTCCCTCCCAATCTCCCTCACTCCCATCCTTCCTCCCTCCCTCCTTCCCTCACTTTTACCCTCTCTGCCCTCTCACATGCACTTTAACCACCTTCCCATCCCCCTACCCCAATTCCATATGTAGGGGAATGTGATCCAGTAGGGGTCATGTAGGTCTGACAGGTCATGTGAAGTAGGGACTAGGGCTTCTCTCCTGTCTCTAGATTAAGGCAGTTATCCCTCCATGGGGGATGTGTTCGCAAAGTCCTTTTGTGCTCCAGGGATACATCCTGGCTCCACTGTCTGAGGTCCCTTAGACTGCTCAGTCCTTCTGGCTGAGACCCATATTCAGGGGGGCCTGAGTCAGTCCCATGTTGGCTTCCCAGCTATCAGTCTGGTGGCCTGTTAGCTCCTCCTTGTTCAGGTAAGCTGTCTCTAAGTGTTTCTGCCACCTGGTCTTGTCCTCTCCCTCTGCATCTGAGTTCTACTTCGACTCAGTGTTTATGTATGGGTGTTTGCTCCTGTTTGCAACAGGCATTAGTTGAGGGCTCCATGGAGAAGTTAGTTGTTGATCTCACTCTCCGGGAAGGGCATTTATGGTAGCCTTTCCATGGAAGCTCAAATTGTTAGTTGGCAGCAGTCTTGTAGTTCTCTAGACCTTTCTTTGTGTTCAATTTTATCTTCAAGCCAATATTGGCTCCCTCTTTTATGTTCTCTCTCTCTCTCTCTCTCTCTCTCTCTCTCTCTCTCTCTTTCCTGTCTTCTATTCCTAACCAGGCTAAATTTTCCTGGTGGCACATATTTTCCTTTCCTCCCCCTCATTTTCTCCTAGTTTTCTCTCCATTCGCTGCCCCCCCCCCCACGTCCCCTGAGCTCTGGGGGACTTGTCTATTATCAGTTCTGTGAGGGACTTTATATGAATTTCTTAGAATACACCTTGTATCCTAGTTCCTCTGGTGATGTGAATTATAGGCTGGTGATCCTTTGATCTAGGTCTAAAATCCATATATGAGTGAGTACATACTGTGTTCCTCTTTTTGTGACTGGGTTACCTCATTCAGGATGGTTTCTTCAAGTGCCATCCACTTGCCTGCGAATTTCAAGATACCATTATTTTTTTCTGCACAGTAGTATTCCATTGTGTAGATGTGCCACATCTTCATTAACCATTCTTCAATTGAGGGGCATCTAGGTTGCTTCCAGCTTCTTGCTATTACAAATAGTGCTGCTATGAACATAGTTGAACAGATGTCTTTGTTGCATGGATGTGAATCCTTTGGGTATATGCCTAAGAGGGGGATTGCCGGGTCCTGTGGTAAACTAATTCCCATTTTCCTGAGGAACCGCCATACTGATCTCCAAAATGGCTGAGTTTGCACTCCCACCAGCAGTGGAGGAGGGTTCCCCTTTCTCCACATCCTCTCCGTTCAACATGAGTCATCATTGGTGTTTGTAATTTTAGCCATTCTGGCAGGGGTAAGATGGTATCTCAAAGTTGTTTTGATTTGCATTTCCCTGATAGCTAGGGATGTGGAGCATTTTCTTAAGTGTCTTTCAGCCTTTTTGATTTCCTCTATTGAGAATTCTTTCTTCAGTTCTGTACCTCATTTTTTAATAGGGTTATTTGGTTATTAGGTGTTGTGTTGACTAGTTTCTTGAGTTCTTTGTATATTTTGGAGATCAGCCCTTTGTGGGATTATAGGATTGGTGAAGATCTTTTCCCAGTCTGTGTTCTGCTGTGGGTCTTGTCAACTGTGTCCTTTGCCTTACAGAAGCTTCTAAGTTTGAAGCGGTCCCATTCATTAATTGTTTCTCTCAGTGTCTGTGCCCCTGGAGTTATGTTCAGGAAGCAGTCTCATATACCAATTTTTTCAAGGCTCCTACTTTCTCTACTAAGAGGTTCAATGTGGCTGGATTGATGTTGAGGTCTTTAATCCATTTGGACTTGAGTTTTGTGCATGGCGACAGACATGAGTCTATCTGCAGTCTTCTACACACCCTCATCCAATTGTGCCAGCACCATTTGTTGAAGATGCTGTCCTCACCCCATTGTATAATTGTAGCCGTTTTGTCGAAAATCAGGTGATCATAGGTGTGTGGGTTAATATCAGGATTTTCAAATCAATTCCATTGGTCTACCTGTCTATTTTTATGCCAATACCAGGTTGTTTTCAGAACTATAGCTCTGTAGTAGAGCTTAAAGTCAGGAATGGTGAATGCCTCCTGAAGTTCTTTTATTGTATAGGGTTGTTTTGGCTATCCTGGGTCTTTTGTTTTTCCATATAAAGTTGATTATTATCCTTTCAAGGTCGGTAAAGAATTGTGGTGGGATTTTAATGGGGATTGCACTGAATCTGTAGATTGCTTTTGGCAAGATTGCCATTTTTACTATGTTTATCCTACCTATCCAAGAGCATGGGAGATCTTTCCATTTTCTGGTATCTTCTTTAATTTCTTTCTTTAGAGACACAAAGTTCTTATTATATAGGTCTTTTACTTGTTTGGTAAGCGTTACACCAAGATACTTTATGTTGCTTGTGGCTATTGTAAAGGGTGATGTTTCTCTGATTTCTTTCTCTGTCTCTTTGTCGTCTGAAAAAAGTAGGGCTACTGATTTTTTTGAGTTTATCTTGTATCCTGCTACTTTGCTGAAGGTGTTTATCAGCTGTAGGAGTTCCCTGGTAGAGTTTATTGGGTCGCTTATGTAAACTATCATATCATCTGCAAATAGAGACAGTTTGACTTCTTCCTTCCCAATTTGGATCCCCTTGATCTCCTTTTGTTGTCTTATAGCATTAGCTAGAACTTCTAGTACGATATTGAAGAGATATGGAGAGAGAGGGCAGCCTTGTCTTGTTCCTGATTTTAGAGGAATTGGCTTAAGTTTCTCTCCATTCAGTTTGATGTTGGCAGTTGGTTTGCTGTATATTGCTCTTACTATGTTTAGGTATGTTCCTGTTATCCCTGACCTCTCCAAGACCTTTATCATGAAATGGTGTTGAATTTTGTCGAAGGCTTTTTCCGCATCTAGGGAGATAATCATATGGTTTTTCTTTTTCTGTTTGTTTATATGGTGGATCACGTTTATAGATTTTCGTATGTTAAACCATCCCTGCATTCCAGGGATGAAGCCTACTTGGTCATGGTGGATGATTTCTCTGATGTATTCTTGAATTCGGTTTGCCAGTATTTTATTGAGTATTTTTGCATTGATATTCATCAGGGATATTGGTCTTTCTTTCTTTCTTAGTTGTGTCTTTGTGAGGCTTGGGTACCAAGGTTATTGTGGCCTCATAAAAAGAGTTTGGCGATGAACCTTCTGTTTCTATCTTGTGGAACAGTTTGAGGAGTAGTGGTATTAGTTCTTCCTTGAATATCTGGTAGAATTCTGCGCTGAATCCATCTGGCCCTGGACTTTTTTTGGTTGGAAGGCTTTCGATGACTGCTTCTATTTCATTGCGGGTTATAGGTCTATTTAAGTTGTTTGTCTGTTCTTGATTTAATTTTGGTGATAGTTGTCCAGAAATTTGTCCATTTCCTTTGAATTTTCAATTTTTGTGGAATACAGATTTTCAAAGTATGACCTGAAAATTATCTGGATTTCTTCTGTGTCTGTTGTTACGTTCCCCTTTTCATTTCTGATTTTGTTAATTTGCATGTTCTCTCTCTGCTTTTTCGTTAATTTGGATAAAGGTTTGTCTATCATGTTGATTTTCTCAAAAAACCAACTCTTTGTTGCATTGATTTTTTTGTATTGTTTTCCTGGTTTCTATTTTGTTGATTTCAGCCCTCAAGTTGATTATTTCCTGTCGTCTGCTCCTACGGGGTGAATTCACTTCTCTGTGTTCTAAGGCTTTCAGTTGCCTTAAGGCTGTTAATTCTCTTATGTGACTATCCTCTGTTTTCTTTATATGGGCACTTAGTGCAATGAACTTCCCTGGTAGCACTGCTATCAAGGTGTCCCATAAGTTCGGGTATGTTGTGTCCTCATTCTCGTTGAATATCAGAAAGTTCTTAATTTCTTTCTTTATTTCTTGTTTGACCCAGGAGTGGTGCAATTGCACATTGTTCAGTTTCCATGAGTTTTCAGGTTTGAATTCCAATTTTAATGCATGGCGGTCCAATAAGATACAGGGGACTATTTCTATTCTCTTGTATCTGTTGAGGTTTGTATGTCACCTAGTATGTGGTCGATTTTAGAGAAGGTTCCATGTGGAGCAGAGA